GGGGGGGGGGGGGGGGGGGGGGGGGGGGTAGGGATTAATACACAATGATTGTATATAGGGATCCAAGGTTTAGGTTTTGGCGCTGCGCCTTTGAAGATGAGAGCGATTGCTTGGGCTCCTTATATGCAGACAGAAGACCAACTTGATGGAGTACAACTAGCCTGACAGTTCTGCCTGAAGGCGATAATAAAGAACAGGAATCTTCTGGGCCAGCTGCTGGTATTGACACTCAGAAAGACACAGTTTGCAGGCTCACTTCGGGGTCCGGATGCACTTCAGAACGGCAGACCCCTAAACCCCAAAGACTAAACCCTGAACCCTGAAAGGATACGGCAGCGAGCATTCGTACAGCATGCAGTCCATCCACCGAAGCAGTCTTCCAGTCGTGTCTTCAAGTTTCGGTGATATGGCTTCGGGTTTAGGGTTTATGATCTAAGCTTGAAGAGGGGCTGGCAAGAAATGCACAAACAGCGTGCGCGTGTTGTAATACCTCCACCTTCAACGGCCCCTTGGACTGCAAATGTCCAGCCGAGCGGCTTAGGCCAGCGGCAGCCCCAACGAATCAGATGAATTGGAGCCTTCCCGATGCGTCCCAAATTAAAACACATCAACTCTGCCCAAAATCCTAACCCTAGGTCCTTTCACCCTAAACGTAAACCGACCTCATTGAAGCTATCTTCCGCGGAATCATGTGCGGCCCCGAAACACTCTCGAACTTCTACACGCTCCCGACATCCAGGATATGTGATTTGGTCTTGTTAAGGGGGGAGGCTCCTTACCTAACAAGCCAGAACGGAGCCATACTCGGCGCTGACCTCGCAGATTCCTACTTATGCCCGGAGCATGTGCATGCATTCTGAAACTCGCTAATCGCGCACTAGTTGCCTAAGGCGAAGCCTGTACAACAACCATTGCACAACGTCCAACGTAGTCTCGGACAAAGTGTACATGCGAACACGCGCACACACACACACACTAAACCCTAAACCCTAAACCCTCAACCTCGAACCTTGAAGCCCTAATTCATATACGTTGGGATATGAGACCCGAACCGCAGCCCGATTGGGACCAACGCTGTCGAGGCGTCGGCACATTTCGAGCCAGCTGACCATGGCCCAGGCGGCTTCGTGCCTTCCCCTAACCCTTACCCTCAAAGAACTCATATTTTAAGGCTTTGGGGCCCGAAGACCCTATTATATAAGGCTTTTGGGTTATTTTGATGCTGAGGGTAACTGTAGAAACGTCCTGAGCTTAAGGCTCAAAGCTTCGGGTTTGAGCTCAAAGCTTCGGGTTTACGGTGTGGGGTGGGTTTAGTGGGGATAGTGACAGCAATGGGACTGAGAGTAGGATTCAGCGTAATTCTCTTGATGACTGGAAGATGCTTCATGCACCGAAGCTGCGACAACAGTAGCCCTGTCCTTCATCACCACCAACAGAGTACTTACTGTCTTGGTATTTCGGAGTTGGGAGTTGGTGTAGAATGTGTTTGGCGTGGGGGTTCCTGGTTTGAAGGTAACGGCTGTAGTCTCGTTATGTTTCTGGCTTGCAAGGTTCCGAAAATTTGAATTGCTGGCGGTGGTGATATGCATTCGGCCGCTCCGAATTTAAGATATGATAGACTCCGAAAAGTGAGAACGCTTAACCTTAATATGCGGTCTTAAGGAACCGATGTACACTTGTACCCCCTGATCTGTTGGCAATGTTCTGAGCTACAGTAGCGATGTGCAGGATGTCGTATTGGATCACCTCCGAGAGCACGGCGAACGCCAAGCATCTTTGCTTTATAGTAGGGTTACGCCTCACCCTCGCGGGCCCGTGTGTCTGTCGAGCTTCCGAGTGGTGCATAGCTCAGCAGCAGCAGCTGCGCATTTGGAGTGGCAGTGGAGGAGCCGTAGCAGGCAGCACTGGAAGCATTACTGAATACTTGTACAGGCCCGATCTGGCAGAAGTCACGACAAGAGAAGAATATCACGTTAGTAGCAGCCGCTGTCGTTCGTAACAGCAGTAGCAATAGCAACGTAGTAGCAGGAGCAGTAGGAGCAGCAGCAACAGCAGCA